TTGAGGTGCTCTCGTTGTTTCTTCAGAGAAACCTCACTTGGGGGCTTGGAGATTGGCTTTAGTTTCCTCTGACCCAATGGACTGCAGGCTGTGTTGAGGGCAGGTTGGGGGAGGGCAGCAGCAACACTGGGCTCTTCCTGCTTCGGTCCCCTACTTCCTGGGTGCTGTTGTCCTAGTCATACCTGGGCTCCATTTGCTTGACTTGTCCCCTGCTTCCATTCTCATCCATTTATAGAGCCTAGTCTCTGTCGTCAGTCCAGAAGAAAGGGCGGCTCACCTCACTCCCAGCAGCGGCTGCCCATCTCCCCAGAGAAGTACCCGGTGCCGTCCGTGGACCACACACGGCTTCCTTCATCCTCCAGGCTGTTTCACCGCTATAGCACGAACCTTTACTGCTATTTGAACACACACACACACACACACACACACACACACACACACACACGTGCGCCTGTTGTCACCACTCACTGCTGGACTGTCCCTCAGACCCACTCTGCATTTTTTTTCTGTCTTTCTTGCCACCTTCTCTTAGTCTTTCCTCACCTGTCACAACCTCAATCCTGCCCTACCCCAGATCACCACACTGAGAACTGCAGCCTCTCCGTCATCACTCAAGGCCACTCTTTCTCTCTCCACATCTTATCATTCACCGCATGATGTTGAATGTCTTGTCCTTCTGTCTCCTCCATTCCCCCCCCCAATGTAAGCTCCCCATGGGCTTAGCATGGTGACGGTCCATCTACATGCCAGGCACATGGTGGACATGCAGCATTTGAGGAATGCAGAACTGGCATGAAGGGAGGAACCCAGTGTGGGGGACGGGTGACCAGGAATGAATAAGTACACTCACAGGAGGGAGTCTAGAAATCACACCTCTCAAGGGACAATGGGAATACTCACACCAAGTTCACAGAAGGCAGGAATAAGCTCAGGCCAGTCTTTCATATGCACGGGACTGGTGTGCATCTGCTGGATGCCTTTTACTGCTCTGCGGCTTTAGAGCTGGGATGGCATCCCATTCCCTCACTCCAGACCAGCAGTTAGTGCCACTGACTGGTCCTGCCATGTCAGACCAAACCTCAGAATACTATTCAACACAACCCAACTTTCCACCCCTGCTGGAGGAAACCTCATGGAAGAAATGGAATTACCAGGCTTTCCCTAGAACACAGGAATAGATAATGGATTGAAAGCCACGAGCATTAAGAAATAATTTATAATCAAGTGTGGTGGGAACACAACCTGGAGATTGATGGGATTGAGGTTGTCCTAGGCTGCATACACAGAACTTGTCTCAAAACTGAACAGCAAAATATTAATTGGAAGTGAGAATGACCCGAGTTTCTAGTTGGCATAGGGGCTGCTCAAGAGGAAGCTGCTGTCCCCTCCTCTCTTACGGTGGCCAGGAACAAGGAAAGCCCCCGAGTCCACACTGGTTGTGTTGAGCTTGACAGTTCGGACCCACAGTTGTATCTGACCAGGCACCTCAACAGCTAGGGCGGGTGAGTGGTTCTCAAGAGAAGGGACAGGCACGCTGACTGACTGATCAGCCCAGCATACAACACCTGAACGTTTGTGCGTGGGGCCAGGAAGTTTGGCCATTTTCTTCAGCAAACTAGGTTCCTGCTTCTCAAAGTCTCATTGACATTATGTTGCTTTTTTATTATTAAGAAACCATTTACTCTTTTAATTCGGTGTTTCCTCTGACAGCCTCCGTGTTCTAGGGGACCCCTTTGCCTCACTGTGGGCTTTGACATGACCATACACTCAGTACCTGAACTGGATACTTTTTATGTTAGCTTGACACAAGGTAGAGTCATCTGAGAAAACGCCTCCAAAGGATCCGGCTAAAGGCAATCCTATAGGGCATTTTCTTAATTAGTGATGTGGAAGGGCCCAGCCCACTGTGGGTAGAGTCACCTCTGGCCTGGTGGTCCTAGGTTCTATGAGACAGCAGGCTAAGCAAGCTTGGGGGGGCAGCCAGTAAGCAGCACCCCTCCAAAGCCTCTGCATCAGCTTCTGTCTCCAAGTTCCAGCCCTTCCTGAGTGGAGTGTGATTTAGGATATGTAAGCCAAGTAAACCCTTTGTCCCCAAGGAGCTTTTGGCTATGATATTTTGGCTGTGGTGTTTCATCGAAGCAATAGGAACCTCCATATACCTAACATATACCTAAACATCTCGGTTTCCCATGTTGGCACAGACACCAGGAAGGTGTCTGACCTTGACTTGGAAGAAGCATGTGACGGTACTTGACATAGTTATCCACACTCTCTTCTGCCCACGGTTCCTTCGCAGCACCCCGAACAGGACACTGTCATCTTTGCTCTGTGTAGTTTTTCCTCATGGCTTTCTTGAGAGTGTGCCTTATCAGTACTCATTACGGCTGGCTGCAGCAGGGCATTATGAAACAACTTCCCAATGCAAGTAAAGAGTCGTTCAGCATCTGAAGACATGCGAGCCTCTCTCCCAACAGAACCCCTCTGTCAAGGCTGTCATTTTGCTACCATCTTTGTCCCACAATTCTGGTCTGATCAGAGGTGGGATGACAACCTTTTGAACTAGACTCTTAAGTGATACCCATGTGTCTCTCAGAAGGAAAAAGGAGTATTGGTTTCATAAATGGGAAGCCACAAGGCAAGGAGAAAATATATATAATAACCAGAATATGCAAAGCTGTTTATTATATTATCTAGAACTGAAATAAAATCAGCAACAAATTTAATATCTAATGAAAGGGGATCAAAGTTTGTTCTTAAATGATACTATAGAACATTGTTAATTTACACAGGCAAAATTTTATCACATATCAGACAAGGAAAGCTCAGTATAAATACGGTATGAAATACTATTACATTTTATAAAAGTATATAAGTACTTCCATGTGGCAAAATGACTAATTTTGTTTTTCAAGACAGGGTTTCTCTGTTTAGCCCCAGCTGTCCTGTAGACCAGGCTGGCTTTGAATTCAGGGATCTGCCTGCCTCTGCCTCCCCAGTGCTGGGATTAAAAGTGTGTTCCACCACCAGCCTGCTGACCTGACAAGGGATTTTTTTATTTCTCCTTTGTTCTTTGTAATATTTCCCAGATTCTAGTGGATGTGGTTAGATGTGGTGGTGTTAGGCCCCAGCCCCATGGGGTCTCTGTGAGTTGCTGGTCAGCCTACAAGTGCAACCTGTTTTCCAGTCCAAGTGCTTTCTGTTTTCTAGTCCTGGCTTACTGCCCTGGCCTTGACCCTCTGACATCAACATTCAGCAGGAGGAAAACACCTCTCTTCTACCTGGGGTTTTTCCACTATGCTGTAAACCTGTATATAAATCTCCTCCCTCCTACAAGGGAGAGACCTCTTAGCACTTGCAATGAAGATACACACACACTTTCTCCTGGCAATAAAGGCAACACATTCATTCTCTTAGTACAAACAAGTAGACGTCTGGTCTTTCTTTCCCTGATACCTTGGAGTTGTTTGCAGCGGGCGCGGCATGGTGGCATGGTTTTTGTTTTTGTTTTTGCTTTTTTTTGGTCAGAAATAAAAGAATAATAAATGCTGCCATTACTTTATTTTTTTAGAAGGAAGACAGGTGAGTCCTTGTTGAGAAAGACAAGGGTTCTGAAGGTGTGGAGGAGGCCACAGTAGCCAGCTTCTTCCTATGTGAGAGACTCGGGTCCTGTGTCCTTCTCAGCTCTGGCGTCTTGATCAGTGATGTGCTGGAGGAGGGGCCCACTTTGGTGGCCTCTAGGCTATTGGGTGTCAGCCAATGCTCCCACTTAGCAGAAAAAGGGCCTGCTCCCCACGAGGCCTTCCCACCACACTCCAATGTGTTGAACAGTCTCAGTGCCCAGAGAACCTGCTGCTTGGTCTCCAAGCCCGTTTACCCCGGAGCTTCAATCTTTTATGAAACAGCTTTTCATTTTCCCCTCTCAACTAAGGGCTTTTACAAGCCACCGAGTGGTTCTTTGTACATCAATTTTTAATCTTGTTAAGGTTTTATTTTTCCACTTGACCAATGCTCAGTTCATAAATAACACATCAAACTTTGCTCCAATTCTTCCCAAAGGTTTTGTTTATTTGTGTTTATTTTTAAATGGCCTCCTATTGGGAAGAAAGAAAGTGGCAAACACGTCACTGTCTGCTGGTCCTTCCCTCATGTACAGACTTTAATGGCTGGGCGTGGCCAAGCAGAGGAAGCCCCTGTTCTCAGCGTAGCTGTGTCTGCACTCTCTCTAGTACACCTGGGAAGGCAGAGCCAACCCTGCTCCAGCACCTCCTCTGCTCCCTGCTCTTGCCCTCTCCGCTTGCCTATGACCTCTATTTGGGGAACTTAGGAAAGGTGAAGGGTGATTTTGCTTCAGTTAGCGTGCTTTCTGAGCTATGTTTAAGTTTCTGAGTCACAAATTGTGTATTGCTTCTTTGTAGATGTGGCTGCATTAGTCAATGCTAGACTTGAGATCAGATAGATGTGTGAGAATCACACTCCATATCACTGTTCAAAAAAGTTCCATGCATTTATCCACCAAAGTGAGGGAGGGACAGGGAGAGAAAGAAAGAGAAAGAATTATTTGGGTTTAGATACACAGGCTGACCAATGGTCAACAGAGAGTTGGCTAGGCAGAGAGAATTAGCTAGATGGCCAGTGTTAACAGTCTTTGGATGTGTGTGTGTGTGTGTGTGTGTGTGTGTGTGTGTGTATGTGTGTCTCTGTCCAGGGCATTTGGAAGATGTTAACAGATACAATGATTCAGCTCTTGGTGTCTGAGGATCAGAACATTCTCTTACATGACCAAATAGAATTGCCAAGAACATTAGCCAGGATTCCATGTAATCATTGTACAGTTTGTGCTGGCAGTGTCCCCAAAGGCCTGTGACCTAAAGGCTTAGTGAAGCTGAGAGGTCGCAGAATCCTCAGCAAATAGGAATATACCCTTAAAGGGATTGAGGGGCCTGGGCTCTCCCTTTTCCTATCACATCTTGACTATTTATTGGATGACTTCACTCCTACAGAGACGTGCTGTCATATGGACCCAAAACCATGAAGACGATTGGTCCTGCGTTCACGGCTGAACCATCTGAGACTGTGAACCACAGAATAAACCCTTTTCCTTTATAAGTTGATTATCTCCAGCATTTTGCTATAATACTGAAAATCTGACTGCGACTGTAGTCATCTAATATTTATCCTTCATTAACCCCAACCAAGATCCAATCAAGTTTCAGCTACTTCATGTTTGCTGCCTCTTTTTAAATCTAGAACATCCCTTATCTTTATTGACTTGGGGACATTCTAGGCTACTGTCTTATGAAATGCTTTACATTTTGTGGTTTCTTATTATTTCTTTGTATTATTACATTTTCCTTTATTCTTTATATTTTTTATCAAATGCTTAGCACAGGATACACCCCACTACAGTGGTAAGTATAGGCTTTACCCTTCAGCGCCAAGTTTAAGAGTAAAGTGTTGAAGCTGTGACTCTTTCAAGTTGTCTTCTGACTGGATTCTCTTTCTCTCTCCATTATGAATTTTGCTTCTAGGGTCTGGAGAAACGGATCAGGGGTTAAGAGCACACATTGCACTTGCATGGAATCCAAGTTTAGTTCCCAGCATCCATGTCCCGTGGGTCACAGCTGCCTGTAACCTCAGCTCTAGGGGATCCAACACCCTCTTCTGGCCTCCTCTGGCACCTGTACTCAAGTGCATATGAACACACACAGACACAGACACACACAGAGACACACAGAGACACACAGACACACACACACACACACACACACACACACACACACACACACACACACACACACGATTCCCAGGAATAATCTACAAGGATGATCACAGCTAAGACTCCTAGCGATAGCAGATATGTAGCCTGACCTGGCCATTTCCTGTGACCAGATTGGCACCAAGCCCAATTGTCCTCAGAGAGACATCATCCAGTGACTGATGGAAACAGATGCAGACCCACAGCCAAACATTAGGTGAAGTTCAGGGAATCCTGCAGAAGAGGAAGAGAAAGGATTGTAGGAGCCAGAAGGATAAAGGACACCACAAGAAAAATCAAAGAATCAACTAACCTGGGCTTTTAGGGGCTGACAGAGACTGACCTGACAACCAGGAAGCCTGCATGGACCTGACCTAGGCCCTCTGCATGTATGTGACAGTTGTGTAGCTTGGTCCCCTTGTGGGATTCCTAACAGTGGGAGCAGGGGCTATCTCTGACTCTTTTACAGGCTTTTGGGACCCTACTCCTCATAATGGATCACATTGCCCAGCCTTAGCATATGGTGAGGTGCTTAGTCTTACTGCAACTTGATATCCATGTTTTGTTGACGCTCATGGGAGACCTGCCCTTTCCTGAACAGAAACAGAGAAGGAGTGAATTGGGGGGTGGAGGGTGGGAACAGAGTTGAGATGAGGGAGAGGAGGGACTAGGAGGAGAAGAGGGAGGGGAATTTTATTTGTGGTCAGTATATAAAATAAATGAATTTATTTAAAAATAAATAAAAATGGAAATCTTTAATGAATCATGCTTTGAAGTCATTCCATTCATCCATCGTTTCACTTAGTCGTGAATTGTCAGGGGGTTATAGAACGATCCAGTGATCCACCCCCACCTCTAGAGTGTCAGGGGATGACAGAAGGGTCCAGTGATCCACCCCCACCCCTAGAGTGTCATGGGATGACAGAAGGGTCCAGTGATCCACCCCCACCCCTAGAGTGTCAGGGGATGACAGAAGGGTCCAGTGATCCACCCCCACCCCTAGAGTGTCAGGGGATGACAGAAGGGTCCAGTGATCCACCCCCACCCCTAGAGTGTCAGGGGATGACAGAAGGGTCCGGTGATCCACCCCCATCCCTAGAGTGTCAGGGGATGACAGAAGGGTCCGGTGATCCACCCCCACCCCTAGAGTGTCAGGGGATGACAGAAGGGTCCAGTGATCCACCCCCACCCCTAGAGTGTCAGGGGATGACAGAAGGGTCCAGTGATCCACCCCCATCCCTAGAGTGTCAGGGGATGACAGAAGGGTCCAGTGATCCACCTCCATCCCTAGAGTGTCAGGGGATGACAGAAGGGTCCAGTGATCCACCCCCATCCCTAGAGTGTCAGGGGATGACAGAAGGGTCCAGTGATCCACCCCCACCCCTAGAGTGTCAGGGGATGACAGAAGGGTCCGGTGATCCACCCCCATCCCTAGTATACTATCTAGATAGCACATATGCTTATCTTCAAATTCACAATTCTTCAAGAATTTGCCATTTCCACTTTAATATTTTTGCACACATGGAATATTTCCAAATTTCCATGTATAGCAAATCTGCTTCTGATCTCTTTACTCCAGACTATTGATGTATATCTGTCAAGTTATGTGATGTTAATCTCTTTTATATCCAAGAGAACTAGCTTTCCCGGGCATTGGTTTAAGTTTTCCTTTGCTTTTTCTTGAATGTCCCCGCATGTTTCTATATTAGAACTGAGCATTTTTACTGTGATCAAACTAAATTTATTATTTGAGAACTATATTGAGAAAGGTCATGTAAAAATGCCTATGGAGAGTATCATATCATTTTTATTATTAAGTAATTACAAATTTAACTATTAATTTTATTAATATTTAAGGGTGCATAAATTTCATAATATTGAACCATCCTTGAATTGTTATGTTTTAAATATGCTACTAGATTTCTTAATAAAATATCATTATGATTTTTGTATAATTAAGAAGACAGGAGATTGGCCAAGAACTTTATTTTTTACACAATATTTGTAGGCTTATCTACCAATTTTATGATAGCTTTACCTCCAGATTCCTAAGCCTATATTATTTTCTGTTACTTCAAACAGATTAAGCAACCCTGAAGTTATCTGATTTTGAAACCATAGGATTAATTACCCTTTGAGGTCATATGGTTCTGGGTTTTTATGGCAGGTTCTATAACTTTTTCTGTTGTGGAAATGGATCTTTCCATAGTGTCAGTTCTCATTGGTTGTATTTCTCCTTGGACACTGTCTACCCGTCTGTTAGGATTTCTATTGTTGTGAAGAAGCACCATGGCGAGATGGCAACTCTTACAAAGGGAGACACATTTAGTCCTGGTGGCTCACAGTTTCAGAGGTTCAGTCCATAATCATCACGGTAGGGAGCATGTGGCCTATAGTGGCACACGGGAAGACAGGGTGATGGAGAAGCAGCAGAGTGTCCCACATGCTGCAGGCAACAGGAAGTGGCCTGTGACACTGAGCAAAGCTTAAGACCTCAAAGCCCGCCCCCACTTCCTCCAACAAGGCCACGCCTCCCGGTAGAGACACTCCCTATGAACTTATGGGGGCGGGGAGTTAACATTCAAACTGCCACATTATCTAAGCTTTCAAATTATTTGTGCTCATAATTATGCAAAGGATTTTTCCACATTTCTTCTGTTTCACTGGACACTTCCTTCCTGTCACTTTTATGTTTCCTCTTTTTATTACTATTTTTTAATTTTTTTAAAAAGTGCATAATACCTTTATTTTTTTTTTAAATTTTATTTTCCAGTTTAAATTTAGATAAGAAACAAGGTTGCTTCGCAAGTCAGTTCCAGGTCCCTCTCCCATTCCCTCCCTTCCTCCCGTGCCCTCCCCCCTATTTTTTAATTTTTAAAATTACGTTTAAAACATTTTACTTCTCTTTTTGCGGGGTGTGGGAAACAGAAGGCGGCCTGAATGAACGTGTAAGAGTAGATGAGGTTCTGAGTGAGTGTATATTATCGACAAGGGCCTCAGTGCCTCAGACCCACGGCAACGGCAGGGAAATCCTCCTCCGGTCTGTGTGCAGCTGTGCGCAGCTGTTGACGGTGTGTGCAAACCTAGCAGCCGCGGCTCCCTCCTCTTGGGTGCCTGCACTGGCCTGCTCTCCCGTTCCTGTCCTACATGTAACCCGCGTGCTGAGGTTCAGGGTTGTGAGTGATACCTGTATCTCCGTGAGAGGGTACACAGCCCTCCCAGCCCAGCTTGGTCTGTGCCCGGTCTTTCTTCATTCCTTCGTTGCCCTTGTCAGGTTCCCAGGACCATGCTGTGAAGGATGCAGCCATGGGGCCTGCGGGAGAGGCATGCTAGGTCAGAGGACAACTTACAGGAGTCAGTTTTCTCTTTCCACCCGCCCCAAAGCTGAAAAATTTGGAGTTTGAATCAAGTTGTCATGGTTGTCAGCTCCTGCTTTTGCTCTGAAGCCATTTACTGGCCTTTGACTTTGAGAAGTAGTCCAGGTTGGACTTGAAGGCCCAGCTGAGGCTGACTTTGAATACTCCCAGTAATCCTTATTTTCATATTATTCTATTTGTATGCTTTATTGATTTTTTTCCCTGAGATTTATTAAGGTTTCCAGTATGGCCTAACATGTTGTTGACTTTTGTGAATGTTTCATGTATGACTGAGAAAAAGATGTATTTTCAATAATCAGGGCATCTATTTAGATGGATACATAAGGTTTATCCCTTTTGTTATTATTGATGATATTGAGACAATCTCACTTCATAGCATGGCCCAGTCCCTCTGTCTCAGCTTCCTGAGTTCCCCTACTTTCCATGGAGTGAGGGCATTATATAAAGCTTACCACCTTTGATTAGAGGCTTGAATTTTTGCCTTGGTTGCTATTTCTGCTTCATAAAGATTGTGGGGTCTGAGTGTGTGTGTGTGTGTGTGTGTATGTGATATGTTTGTGTGTGTGTGTAAGACAGAGAGAGAGAGAGAGAGAGAGAGAGAGAGAGAGAGAGAGAGAGAGAGAGAGTCAGACAGACGGAAGTTAGGGGACAACAGGATCTCTTTGGTTTTTCTCTGCTGTGTATGCCAGGCTAGCTCTCCTCCTAGGGATTCTTCTATCTCTGCCACCCCTACCTTTGTTGGCGCACTGGGATTGCAGATGCAAACTACTGCATCCAGCTTTACTTGGAGGGTTACAACTCAGGCCCTCACGATCTATGGTGAGCACTTAGCCACTGAGCCATCTCTCTAGCCCAAATGGTATTTATGTCTTTGTCACCTTTAAGATGAATTGTACCTTGTGATCATCAAGTCCATCATTTTGTCTCAAGTTCACTGGCCCAAATTTTACCTTGTTATATATCGGTCGAGC